GCCTGAAAGTCAGTGGGATCTTTTCTTGGTTTGAACCCCTTTGGGAGGCTCTTCTGGGGTCATGTCGGATATCAACACTTTCCCTTTTTCTATTTGCTACTCTTACACCTAGAATATGTTCAGCAGCTTTTATGTCGAAGATTGAACTGCATCGAGGACACAGCATCACTTCTGACTTCTTTTTTTGGCATCTTTGCAGGAAATCTGCCAGATTTTCATTTTCCCGAGGGAAAGCAGTTTTGTTGGCTTGTTCTTGCCTCATGGCCTCCTCTGATGCTTTTGGTTCAGAGACTTCGACCATGTTGACATTCATGGTATCTTTGGTGGCAAGAGTCAACTGCTTCATTTGAATCTCCAAGTCCTCTGTCTGGCCTTGAACTGCAGCCAAGTGAGAACTGGGTTTTGTTCCAGATTTTTGGGCTCCAACTGTCTCCAGCTTTGGGCTTTCGACCGCCTTTTGGACCGCTTCAATTGTCTTCCTGGATAGATTCCCAGAAAAACTGCCAAAGATTGGCATGTTGACATGGTCCTTTGAGACTTCGACCATTGTGATTCCTGGCCTCTTCGACTGGCTTCTGGATGCCTCGATCACGTTCACCTCTGAAGGTTCAGCATAATGGGCTTCAGCCTGCAACGGGTTAGAGTCCACAGTCATGGGGGTCTTGTCAGCAAACTTCAACCTCCCTTCTTCGATAGCGTCTTGCACAAGATTCCTGAAAAGAAAACATTGAGACGTTTTATGGCCCAGAAAATTATGATATTTACAAAAGCCTCTATTCTTTCTTTGATCAAGAGGAGGCGCTTTTACCCCTGGGGGTACTATCATTTGGCCATCTTTTACAAGCAAGTCAAAGATTTCATCACATTTTGTAATATCAAAACTATAAATCTTTTTGGGGAACCTATCGTTGGTCCTTTCTGGACCAGTGGGATTTTTTCCACTTGAGGGGACTAACAGTTTGCAAGAGTATGGTGGCCCTTGTTTTAGTTCCGCTAAATCGACCTCGCCTTCTTCGACGGTTATAGTTTCGTCGAAGGTTTCTGGATCTTCGTCATCCATCTCAACATACGCTATCCTCTCTCTTTTATGAGTTTTCGTTGCCTTGGCTTTCTCAGCTTTAAGGCGTTCTACCTGTCGAACTCTATCGGCCAATTGGGCCATGTCTCTCAGGTATTGAGTGTCTAACTTCTTCCTAATGGAATAATCTAAACCGCCTGCGGCTATTTTGACTAACTCATGTTCTGGCACTTGTGTAAAGCATCTTGCTTTGAGCAACCTAAACCTATTTAGATATTCGTCTATAGGTTCAGTGAAACGCCTCTTTACACTGGCCAATTCTTTCAGGCTTATCTTGGTTTGTCCCATGTAGAATTGCTCATGGAACAATCTCTCCAACTGGGTCCAATGATGGATCGAATTTGGGGGAAGAGTTGTAAACCAAGTAAAAGCGTTCTTTGTTAAAGAACTTTGGAAGTACTTAATCCTCAGGTTTTCGTTGTTTGAAATATCTCCTGCTTCGATCAAGTATCTCGCCACATGTTCGACAGTAGATTCTGTCGTGTCCCCAGAGAATTTAGTGAACTTAGGGACTTTACATCTAGGAGGTAAGTCTGTTTGTAACACATATTCTGACAGTGGGGATGTGAAGTTGGGCCTACGAAAGCCCATGTTCATCCCATTTTGCGTCATGATTCTTTCGATCATGGCTGCCAGATTATTTTCCAAACCCATATTCTGGTATTGGATATGCTGGACTACTTCGTCAGCATTTTGGTTTCTGTTAACTAACCTCACCTCTGGGGCTACAACCCTAGGTTCTTCGATAGGCTGCTCCAATCGTGCCCTAAGGTTTTCTTCGACAGGCTGCTGGACTTGGTTGATAGTGGTTTCTTCCTCTAAGAGTATACCTTGGTTTCCCCTTATTTGCGCCCTTTGGGGCTGTCGAATAGGTTGGGGTACTCCAAAGAAATCAGCCAAACGCGTCATTTGCGCTGTCATCTGCTGATTCGATTGGGTGGTGTTTTGTATTAGAGGATTCAGCACTGTACTTAAAGTTTGTGCCAACATTTGAACCATATCATGGTTGCTTTCGTCCATTTGTTGCCTCAAGATTGCTGTCGAGGCATTTGTAAGGCCATGTGCTACTTGGGACGTTCCTCCTAAGAGTTGGGTCCTATTTCTGTTCGCCATACCTACTCCAGAACCTTGGAGTGGCGAAGAGGCACTCACTAAAGGGTCTGAAAAAGTGGACGCAGCGTTCGTTAGGCTAGCCAAATTAGACGTTGGCATGCCATAGAGTGGTTCTCGATTTTGACCGCCTGTCATAAATCCTGGGGGAACATAAGGTCTTGTGCCTAGATTTCCCCTTGGTGGGGGAGTTCCCAAAGGCACTCTGGGGCCAGCGAACGGAGGTAATGGCCCCGTTGTTGTGACCGTTACTGCTGGTGTTGAACCAGCGGTTATCGCTTCACTTACGGTTGGGATAACCGTTGTTCCCACATTCGTTTGTGGGATTTCGTTATTGTTTGGTGGATTCGCCATCGCTTCTCTTCTTCTGGCAGTATTGGTATTGTTAGTGTATATTCTACCACTTCTCAATAACATGTAATACTTCTCGAAAAAGATAATATTCTGTGTAAAAAGGTTAAACTTCAAAATCAACACAAGGTCCCACCGGGTGTGCCAATTTGTTTATCGTGGGAATTGGTAAACAACCGCTGATCTTCCAAAAGGTTACTTATTTGGTGACTCGCAGGATCGATCAGATTGATCCTAAGACATGGTTGATTTTGGGGTTTTGACTAAGTTTGGTAATGGTTAAATGACAAGAAAATAAAGAAACTTTATGTAAATTGCATGAAGAAGAAAACTTGACAGAATAAAGAAAAGCTTGAAATAAAAGGCTTCGACTGGGAAAGTAAAGAAGAAAGCAAGTAAAGTTTCTGGAAAATAAATGACTTTGATTAATAAAGTGGTGTTTCACACATACATTCTCAACAATTCTTTCTCTCACGCTGGGTACTCGAATCTATATGAGTGACTTGTATATATTTGTGAACACACGCGAAAAACTGCGTGAACTACTAATATTTATACTAACATATCCCAAGTAACCGTCGGGTAGTTACACTGCTTCGAGATGACTCCACTTGGCACGTTCACAGCGTTCGACGCTCCAGATCTTAGCACGTTGCACTTGGTAACCGCTGGGAACTGTTTTCCCTCCAAACGTTTGAATCTCAAACCGTTCCACTCTGAACAATCGAACACCTTCGTCGAGAAGCATCTTCGACGAGAAACACCTTCGACGTCGAAGGCAACCAAATTCTCCCTTGGAAGAAATTCTCTAAGTACATTGCCATCTTCTGATGAGCATTTCGACAGACCCGGCTGGTCGAAACCATCCTTCAGCTTTAATGGCTGATATTAATAAAAACAAGGGTGTCGAATTTAGGAGCCAACAGTTCCATGCAACCTTCGTTGTTTCATAATCATCAATCTTCTCAAACACATTCGCATCCACACATTGATGGATGTAGAACAACGCCTTTTGGTCTTTCTTCCTCAGTGCCTTCTGTGCCTCTGTTGTGTCTGCTTTTAATAGATTATAGCCATCGGTGACAAGATCTAACACATCTTGAGAACCAAATAACACGCACATCTGGATCTTCCAACAATTCTAGTTTTTGCCATCAAATACTGGAAGCTTGGAATGGATATCGCCGCCGTTTCCGTTCATCTTCTACCTTGTGCAATTTACGCAGAAACTCAATGAAAACAATATTTCTCGAATCCCAAAATTTTTTCAAATTCCAGAGTTTCTAACCAGGAACTCTAGATACCAATTGTTGGTGTACAGGGAAGATAAAAGGCAAAAAGAATATTTACCGACAACTTTAAGGATTTACAATGAATTACAATAACCTACTCCACTAGGCTATTTATACACAAAATTAAATCTAAAATATATCTTCTAACAAAGATATAAGAAGATCTAAGATATATATCTTCTAACAAAGATATAAACAATTTAAAAGATATTCTTAAATATAAATTAATATCTAATTAATTATAAAATCTAAATTAATTCTAACAATATAGTGTCTAATAAAATTCATCAACATGACATAACACTTGATAATATTATAATATTTCACCAGACATGTTATTTCAATAAAATAAGTAAGTTAGAAATGATGTCAAAGAAAATAAGAAACACAATTTAGTATTAGAATCATGTAAACTCATTGGTCTAATAGTATTATTTGTAGAGAATAAAACTTTTTTTGGCAAAATTATGTTAGTAGTAAGATATTGATTTTATATTTTTGTTTAAAATAATAATTAAAAAAAATAAGGAATTACTAATGACACATGAGTTGGGTCAACGGGCCCGCGAGTTGTGAAACTCAAACCCGATACCTAAACTAAAAATGTACGAGTTATTGCAGGCTAGGTATACTCGTAAGTGAATGAAGTCGAATAATTTATGAATTGGTTCGATTTGAGTTAGCGGATTCGTGGGTCCATCTGCTCTCATGAACACTCTTATTTTTAAAATGATGTGATCAAGAAAATAAATATGAGAGAAAATTTAACAAGTATCGGTGATAATATTAAGTTAATATGCACTTTTACATAAATATTAATTTGATGAATATTTTAAACATCATTTAACTAAACTTATGATAACTCTCTACTTATATTATATAAATTTTAATAATTATATATTTTTTTATAAAATTAAAACTATAATATTAAAATACAAATCTTCATTTTTCTTAAATAAACACATAGATATAAGTTAACATTTTTAAATTTCTTATCAATGACTAAATTTTATCTTATCCGATACATATGTAAATAAAAATCATTATTGAGAATCTAAGCAAACAATCTTAACCGCAAACATTGTTGTTTGTGTGTGTGTTATCCACACATGTTGCTACTTCCTACATCATCACCCACTTCCTCTACTCTCCTATACTCTCATCCTCCAATGACGTTCACCGTCGCCACCATCAGCACCGGCGCTACATGCGGCGGTGCTGGAATCCTCTACAACAACACCACTACAACAACACCCTACACCCCTCTCTCCCACATCACCCTCCCATCATCCTCCTCAAAAAGAAGAACCCTTCATATAGTTTCAGCTAAAAAGTTTTCTTCTCGTTCTAGAAGGAAGCAGCCAACAACCACCACGACCGCTGATCAGGAGTCGCAACCAACGAATGAGGTTGAAATACCCTTTTACTCCGATGAAGATTGGCCGTTTCCGTATAGACCTCCAGGTACCTCGAAGGAGCCTGATTTCTTTGAAGGTCCTCAGTGGGACACTGTTGGGTTCATTGGAGAGTGGTTGTGGATTCTTGGTGGTGTTTTCGCGGTATAATTCTACTTCTATCTTGTGTTATTTTGTTACCATTTTAGAGACCTAATATGATATTACAGCCTTAGGGCCACTCACCATTTACTTCCATGTATCAAACTCAAGGCCGTTTTTGAGGGTGAGCAGCATGGACTATAGCACAGGGTCTTAAATTTGTCATAGTTAAATTGTGGCTAAATAGGACCTCATAGTAGAGTTGTCACAGCTAAATCGTGGCTAAGTAGAGCTCTGGTTGTTTTGTCAAGATTGAATTGTGGATAACCTACACAGGACTTCCAAAACTTAAGACGACTCTGATCGAACTCAATAGTGTTGGACGTGAGTGGATGTAGTGGAATGAGTTAAATTTGATATAAAAGCCTAATAGTACATGTGTGAGTTTTGATTGAGTGGTTATTTTGAGTATGAGAAGAAATTTGGAAGAGGATAGAGTTTTACTTTTGAGCTTATTTGGTGACATGTCCACTTATCTAAGGACATGTTTAGATTGACGGCGAGTTTGATGATTTTGTTGAAACTCTAAAACATAGCCTTTGGGGATATTTGGTGGGTCATCTGTTTCTCTTAAACTCAATATGTACTTAGTATTTAGAGGAAGTATGGTGAAGATGAAAGTTGTTAGAAAGTCGTAGAAGTATCATACTTCTTTCAAGGTTTTAAAAAATTGGTTTGGATTGTGATGTTAATGTTTTCTATGTCCCTAACTTTTGTGTGTTGTGTATGTGTGTGTTTTCTTTTAGTGGTTTTCTTGAATATAAGAAGAAATTTGGAAGTGGATAGAGTTAAATTTTCGAGTTTATGTGGACTGGTGAAAAATCCACTCATCTAAGTAGATGCTGGTAGACTAATGTTATTCTGCCAAACACACCTAGAATTCAAATATGCACTGCATAGTTAGAAAAGTTCTCATGAAAAAGAAAGTAGTTAGATGAGTTATAAAAATTATATACTACCGTCAATGTTTAAGTAAAAGGCCTAGATTGCGACGTTAAGGTTTTTGATGTCTGTATGATCACGTAACGATCCTAATCTTGTCCTATCATGTCAGTATGTAGGTTCAATTGTTTAATTGTTTAGAACTTCATTGCAATTGCAGGTATTTGGTGGTGGGTATGCTGCCATAAATTACAATCTAGGAGCATCAGATTTCAAGAACACTCCTGCATACAAGGAATCTGTTCAGTCTCAAGAACTTTTAGAACAACCCGAAACATCTGAATCAGATATCTTCGAGTCAAATCCTACAGAGGTAGCTCCTAGTTTGAACTAGTCCATTCATAGATACCAGCAAACATACTTTGTTTAGCATATATGAATCCGAATCCAGGTGAATGTTCCTTAATTTGTACGGCAATACTTTGTTATATTTTTGAACTCTTAGAAGTTGTGACCGTTTGATCAAATCATTGTCGATGATCTTATCTTATATATAGATAAAAACATTGAAATTTAGAGATGATATTTGGTTCAAATGTGGCACATGGATAGTTTGGTTTGTATATTGTATGGACTAAATGTGTCTTTTGATCTTCTTTGTTTGGTTTAGCATTTTGTTACAAATCTTGCCAAAAAGATGCTCTAGGAATCACTTGGGGCATGTTTGTATTGACTTGTGAAAATGTTTAAAAGGACCTATGAAAACAACTTACAATATGTTCTTAAGCTATTTTTTCAGCTTATTTTCACAAGTCTTTAAAGATAGTTTATACGAAAACAACTTAACTTTATTATATTTTTTGTTAAAGAATAAAAATAACATATGCATAAACACTTATCATGATAAGTGCTTATGCTATAAACTACAAATTAATATATTTTTCCATGCTAGAGTTCAAATCCTGTAAAAAAAAGATGCTAGTGTTCACTTAGTGTAGCTGGAATTGCTAGTCAATAAATTATTGCATGTTCAATTCAGAAGTTACAAATTATGCAAAAGGTTTATAACTTTTAAAATATAACAAAAACAACTTTGATTCAAAGAACAATTGTTTGCATATTACATAGAAAAACTAACTATCCAGTCTTAAACTCTAAAAGAAACAACACAATCAATCTAATATAACATCTTTGATGACCCTATTCTCCTAAAGGAAATGTATTAAGATACTGATATGAACATGAAAATTGTTATGTTAATGATAACAATTATTCCATTCTTTGCCTTCAAGTTAATGGCTTCACTTCTTGCAAATCCAAATCCTATCATGCTAGGTCTTGGTGGGACTGAAAATGCTGGAGAAGCTACAAATGACGGTGAAAGCGCAATTAGTTCATATTCGCTATTCTTACAATGATACCGAAGATAAAAGAATAAGTAACAAGAATAGCAAAGAAAAAGCTTATGGTATTACCAGCAACAGTAGAGTTGTTCTTTGCCCCAAAGGAAACTTGAGAATTTGGCGAAGAAGTTGGAGGAGGCGCACGTGTTTTCTCCCCTACGAAAAAAATAGAAGAAAAAAACAAAGTCGAAAACAGAAAAAATCTTCTAAAAGTGATTATTATTATTAAAAAAAAATGGTTTTGTTACCTGGACAAACTGAGTTATTGACTTGGAGGTTACAAAGAGCTGGAACTTGCAGAGCAAGTGTTCTGTTTATAGGGAAAGAGGTAAATGCAGTGTCATTTAGCAAGAAGCAAATACAGTGTGGCTCTTGGCTATAGAGTTGATTGAGGTTGCTACAACAATCGGAAGCCGGAGCGCTAACAGCGCCCTGCAGGAATGGTGTGCAGGGAATGAGAGGAAGGAGGTTTGATGTGCATGGAGCTATTGTTGGGCTTGAGGAGGTTGGATCCTGTGAGAGAGTGTTTGGGGGATAGGAAATTATGAACAAGAGAAAAATGTGAGAGAAAAGAGAAATTAGATTGTAATAAGTAAGAGAAGCCATTGTGTTTGAGTGATAGTGTGTGAAGACAGAAATTTTTGTGTCTAAATTGAAAAATTAGAGATGTTTTGTGTGACTTTTGCATGCACTAGGTGTGAGTTTTATCAATCATGCACTTTTTGTTTGTTCATGTAATACATGAATTAAACAAGTGGTTGGACTCAAGTGTTTAATGAGTTTCAGTTAAAAACGAATTTGTTAAAAGAGTTCATTCGATTATGAATCCTAACTGAAATAATTATTGACTAGACTTTTCTTATCTTACATTTTGATGAATTTTAAAACGAATTTTTTTTTCTACCCTTATACTTTCTTCTAAACACTTAACAAAAATTTAAAAATATTCTCATTCTTCAAATATGCATATCTGAATGCACTCAATTTTCTACAAAATTGAATGCAAACAAGTGAATCATTCCTATTATACTTAATTTCAGAAATATATATCTGAACAAATTCTATTTTTTTAATTAAAAATAGTGTTTTCGGATATACATATTCGAAAAAAAATTTGTTATGTTTTTCTTAACTTATACCTAGTATTCATACATCAACAGTGTAATAAATATGTAAATATCAATAATATCCATATTAAAAAAAAACAATTGAAAAATATAAAAACGATTAAAGTAAATTTATAAAAATGTGAAATTATAACGGAAAAATCAAATCAAATAAAATTAAATATCTATAATTTTTTTCTAAAATATGAAATGTAAAATTAAAAAACGAATTTGGAATTTTTAGGGTGGTGTTCCGTATTTTAATACGAGTCTTTGATTCCTGATTTTTTTGTTGATGAAATGACACTGTAAAATTTTGATTAAGTGTCGAGTTTCTAGAAAATTGAGTTTTTTATGCAAAGTCGTGTAAATGACAGAAATGCAAGAACGCAAAGGGCAGAATGCAAGGATACAATTTCTATGACTCTAATATTGATTAAAATCGATAGAGTTTCTGATAACGGTGTCAATTTCAATGGAAAAACGTGTAGTAAATAGGATCATGGGTTTTTTCGGAGATGTATCTCCGAATTCACTCTAAAAAATTTTGGAGATACATCTCCGAATCAATTTTTGACAAAAAAATAGAGTAGTTGTTTGATTTATGAAGGATAAGGTGATTTAAAATATATTCAAAGATGTATCTCTGAAAATTTCTAAAAATATTTTTTAATTTTCATAGACGTAAGAGAAGGTATAAAGATAAGAAAAAAAAATTGCCATTTTAAATCATCAAGACTCTTTCTCTGATGAAGTGGAGGGTGAAAGATAAAAACTTAAAATACTTAAACTCTTAAAAAGAATAGGGTTGAGATATATAAGTAACTATCATGTTTTTAATTGTATATATATATATATATATATATATATATATATATATATATATATATATATATATATATATATATATATATATATATATATATATATATATATATATATATATATATATATATATATATATATATATATATATATATATATATATATATATATATTAGAAAAAGGTTAAATAGATTGACCTATATATGCATATATATTAGAATAAAAGGTAAATAGGTCGGTTTATATATGCATATATATGCCAACCTATAAACATTCTTAAGTAATATGAATTAATTGAAAATCTTATTGAAAAATGCTTTTATATAGGCTTTCAGGCCATGTGAGACTTTTAAAAAGGCCAGGCCAAAAAAACGAGCATATAATAAGCTATAGACCAGGCTCAGGCCTTTTAAGTCTATCGTAGGTCAGACTCATGCCTTTTAAGTCTATCGTAGACTAGGCTCAGGTCTTCTAAAGCCTAGTCTATTTCCACCCCTATAATACAATACATGGCACATGATATATAAGAGTGCCTAAACAAAATCTAGAATATATACATAATCCATAAAATACATAGCGGAACAATCATGAAACAACAAAAGTCTTCAAACTTCTTCAAGCAATCTTGCCTTTTCCTTTAACCTGCTCAAAACTACCTGAAAATCAACAATTATATGAGGGTGATATCATAATTTCATTGGTTTCTTCTATCTTATGAGTCCACTCGACTCTAAAGAGACTATCAAACGATATCTTAACCTAAGTCTGTCTATTTTATAATACTTGTGTAATTTATACAATAGACCGAGACTTAAGTACTTGAGGGTTTTTCGTCTCGTATGGAAACATAAGAACTTAAGTTCACAGAACTCAAGGAATCCCTATTCTGGAATACATTCACAGAGTAACTTTTCCTGGCTGATACCATGTCTGAGACTATGGACATGAGTCATAGATCTCTGTCACGTCGAATAACTTTCTCTGGCCTAGACTACATCTAGGAAATAGGACACAGAGGACCGCTCTATAAGGAACGTCTTTCCCCATAAAGCACATATTTATTAGGTAAAGACACGAGTGACAAACTTCCTATAATAATCAAAATACTTTCCCAAACAAAGCACCTCTTACACGGGTTAAGACACGGGTCACGATATCCATCATTTAGAATAGTTTCTCTAACAGACACCTCTTATACATGGGTCAAGAAACAGGTCACTGTGTCCATCTCAAAGATTCATCTATCTCGATCACTACTTTATGAAGGATAGAAAAACAAAAAAAGGGGAGGGTTTGAATTGGGGTTTTCAAAAATAAGACAGTATGACACGTTGGTTATCCTGGTTCCTTTGAACTCAAACTACTCCAGTTTACCCGCCAAGGTAATTTCGCCTCTCTCAACGAGGTCTTAATCCACTAATCAAAACTTGATTACACAACAGAATGACTATCGTAAATTTCTTCTTGAGTCTAAACCAAAACTCAGTTTCTCAAGGTATTACAAAATATAAATCAATAAGGATGTGTAAAAATGATGTTTCTAAATAAAACTATATCACAACAGTGATGTACACACAAGATTAAAGCACAAGATAACACTGGTAAAGATATTTTTTTTGAATGTACAATAGTGTTGTATATGATTCTTCTTCATAGTCTTATTTTTATAGGCGAGGCATAAGGGACATGAGAAGATGTATTTGGAAGGTTGATAAAGTATCGTTAATGCACTTTCCAAAAATATAGATCTTGTCTTGGTTCAGCCGTTACTTTTTGATTTGTAATAAATGAGTTGTAACGCATCAAAACTTTGCTTCCTTAGGATCTTACCAGAATGAGAATATTACCATGGAGACTTTAGATCCTCATAGTTTCTTGATATTCATATTATTAGAACTTGGATGAGACAGACATGTTGAAGCTTCTTTATATTTTATCAGAGTATTTACTTATCAGAGTGTAGTTTGAGCTTAAGTGCTGAACTTTAGAGCTTTAGTATAAATGAGTGCATTGAGACTTATTTTGTTCTTCTAGAAATTTACTTATTAGAGTATCAGAAT